AAGATTTTGGGCGAGGAGTTGACTTAAGCAGTGGGGCTCAGGAGGGAAACTGGCAGGGTACTGGGCTGGACGGACCAGCGTGGGCGTGAGGAGAGGGGTCTGGGCCTAGGCCGTGAGTTGCAGGGTCAGGGAGGGTGGGCAAGTGACAGCACCTGCCGTTATGACACATAAATGGGGGGGCTGGGTGCATTGGTGACGAAGCAAGGCCGTCAGGGGGTGGGGTTGGGCTTCGGGGGGCAGGCAGAGTGAATTTGGAGAACTTACGTGTCCCACAGTAATCCTATTGCAAGAATGAGGCTGAGTGTTTAATAATCTAAAAATCTAATTTAATAGTTTAATAATCATCAGCCTGGAAGGGTTTGGTGAAAGCCAAGGAGCGGTTGAGACGACCTCGGAGAGCGCAGAGGACCGGAGAGCCAGAGTCAGGGGCTGCGCCTCTGGGGAGGGAGAAGAGGGATGGTCAGGCCTGACGAGGTCAGCACCAGGGATGGCCGGAAGCTAACACGGAGCTTAGAGAGTTTCGTGCAGAATGTGTCCATGATATGAGACTCTGCCTAGGGCACTGAAGCCTGGGACAAGGTCACTGTCTGGCAGTGACATCAGCAGAGACCTCGGGGAGCAGTTTTTAGAGTTCCGGCGGCCGGAAGGTACTAGCATGTGAGAGACACTGGAGATAAGACCAGAGACAGGTCAAGGACATGCGGCCAGTGGCCTGCAGGGCCCAGGGGGTGCGCCCTGACGTCCCCTCCCCACCCCGCCAGGTCCCCACCTCCCGGGAGTGCGTGGGCTTCGGGGCCGTGCAGGAGGTGGCCGTGGGGCTCGTCCAGCCGGCCAGCGCGGCCCTGTATGATTACTACAACCCCGGTGAGCCCTTGGGGGGCACTTGGCAGGTTTGGAGTAGGTGTCCCCATATGGGACATCAGGAAGTGGGGCAGTGCCGGGTGGCAGGGGTGTCCTGTGGCTCCTTGGGACGGGGGAGGCAGTGTTGTGGGGGAGGGCGTGTGCTCTAACTGCCCTCTCTCCTCCAGAGCGCAAATGTTCTGTGTTTTACGGGGCCCCCACTAAGAGCAAACTCTTGTCCACATTGTGCTCTGCTGACGTCTGCCAGTGTGCTGAGGGTGAGAGCCGGGGCCGGGGCGGGAAGCCGGTGAGGCTGGGGCCTACGCCAGCTCATCTGTGTTGCTCCCCCCCCCCCCCACAGGGAAGTGCCCTCGGCAGCGCCGTGCCCTGGAGCGGGGGCTGCAGGACGAGGGGGGCTACAGGATGAAGTTCGCCTGCTACTACCCCCGTGTGCAGTACGGTCAGTGCCCTCCCCCGCCGCCCCGGCTCTGCACTTGGGCCGTGCCTCGTGACCGCAGGTGGAACAAACCCGTGCTCCCTTCTCTTAAACGCCCTCATAGGCTTCCAGGTGAAGGTCCTTCGAGAAGATGGCAGAGCTGCCTTCCGTCTCTTCGAGACCAGAATCACCCAAGTCCTGCACTTCAGTATGAAGGGAACGGATGGGCCGGTGGGGCTGGGGGACAGAGGGGGCCGAGGTCGGGGTTTGCAGCCCGGGTGCCCAGGATAGCGGACATTCGGAGGCTGAGCTCCAAGCCCCTCAGCCTCTTGGAAGCTCTGGGCTTGGCCATAAATCGAAAAGCAGTCATACGTCTCTGTGAGGAGCAGTGAGGGCTCGATGGGAGGCTCCGGGCCCAGCCCCCAGCCCCCACTGGCCCTGTACCTTCCATTCGCCTCTGACGACTCCTGTGTACCTTATCCTCCCAGCCAAGGACACCAAGGCCACTGTCCATCAGACCCGAAACTTCCTGGTTCGAGCCTCTTGCCGCCTTCGCTTGGAACCTGGGAAAGAATACTTGATCATGGGTCTGGATGGAGCTACCTTTGACCTCAAGGGAGAGTGAGTTCTCTGGGCCCCTCTGTCGCTTGCTCTCCTCCCACCTCATGAGGGAACGGATCCCCAGCGTGCAGACCCTGGCCCGCCGGAAACCGGGTGCCCATCCCCCCCAGGCCTGCTGACTGCCCTTCTGCCTCCGCAGCCCCCAGTACCTGCTGGACTCGAACACCTGGGTAGAGGAGATGCCCTCTGAACGCCTGTGCCAGAGCACCCGCCATCGGGCAGGCTGTGCGCAGCTCAGCGACTTCCTCCAGGAGTACAGCACTCAGGGGTGCCAGGTGTAAGGCCGCGCCACCCCCTCCCCCCCGCCCGGGGCTGCCTGGATGGTCACTGGGCCCGGCCCCCCGGACACGGCCCGGGCAGGCCCAGGGACTCAATAAAGGCCTTTGGCAGCAGAGCGTCAGTGTGTGTCTCCAGGATTGAGAGCGATGCTCCACGCGCCCCCCACCCCTCCGCCAGCTTCTGAGGCCAGGGTTTGCGTCATCTTGGGCTCCCAGAGCCTGGGTGACCCTTGGGGGTGTCACTCCCAGACGATTCCCTGGGAGCTCAGTCCATTCTAGAAGCGCCCTGAGCGGACCTGTGACCCCACAGCCTGCACCCCAAGGCTCCGGAGCCACAGCAAGGCCTCCCTCCACAGCCCCGCTGTTGCCAGTCCCTGCGGCCTCGGGCGTGGCTCGAGCTGAGCCTAATGCCGCCACCCTTTCGGCCACGCGTTTCCCGCTCTGCCCCTGTGCGGCTGGGTGTTCTGGGGTCTCTGGCCCGTAGCTGACGTCTGGTTTCTTGAAAGCAGACAGTTGCCTCTCGATCTTACCAGTGGTTAGGGAACTTTCCCCAAGTTGCGCCATGACTTCAGGGTGGGGTTTGATACACCAAAGAGGCCGCTGTTCTACTGGCCCCACCCTCCCCACCTGCCTGCCTCGCTCTCGCCCGTTCGGTGGCCCCCGCTGGGTCTCCAGGGCTGACTAGAAATCCAGCTAGAGAAGTTGGCCGAGATCGGTGTTGACGGGAAGCGGAGTCCGTGCACCAGCCTGCCAGCCGATCGGACAGCCGCAGTTCGCGGGGCTCTCCCTCCATGCCATGCCCTGTGCCAGGTCCCTGGCCCTGAAACGTGTGCTGTTCGGAGCTGTCTGGTCCTGTGGGGCACCTGACCGAATCTGGGGGCAGGGAGAAGGGGAGGGCTTCCTGGAGGAGGTGGCCTCTGACTTGGGTTCTGAAAGCTGAGGCATCACGCATAGAGAGGGGGTAGCTGAGGGCCTGTGAGGCAGACGGGCGGAGAATATGAAAGGCTCAGAGGCCAGGGGGCAGGACAGGGCCCATCTGGGGGCACTGCATGTGATTCCACCATGTCCGAGATTTGGATTTGGAGGTGGGGTGGGAGAGCTGGGGCTGGCGGTGTAATCAGGTCAGTTGAGGAAGGTTTGTTCACATTCAGGCCAGCTTTCCCGGTCACTCTTCTTTCCAGTGGAGCCCCCTCCCCTGCCTTGCAACTCAGAGAGGTTCCGTGTTCCTGAGGCTTCCCGGGGCTATTGTCTCCATGGCCCTGCGGCGACTCGTCACATCTCTGTCCCCGAAGCTGGCCAGCATGGGGTGGCCAAGAGCCATTTGTGAGAGCCAGGCACTCAGCTGCAGTCGTGGCAGGACACGGCCTGGGTCTGGGAGGTCAACTGTGAGGCAGGGGATTAGCGGTGGCTGCCTAACCCTCGAAATGCCACCCTGCTCTCTCCCTCCCAGCCCTGGGCATGGGTCCAGGCTGAGCCCGAGCCTCTCCCACCAGGACCCCCAGCAGTTACTTCCTCAAGCTGGTGGGTGGCACAGCCAGCATCTCGATTCAGGGCCTCCAGCCACATAGCCTGTGCACTCTGGGTAAAAGCTTGGGGGGCGGGGGGGGGGGAAGGTCTACCCACTCCTGGGTGCCGGGATCAGTTTACAGAGCCAGGGATGGGGAGTTGGGGGATGATGTGAGTTTTAGGTCACCTCTGATCCCTTTCCCCCACCCCCAGGTAGCCCAAATCTCTCACTGAGCACTGTCACCCCTTTGGCACGATCTCTCCGAAAACTTTGAGCCTCTCAGCTGCCTCCTCACCCATGAAAGTGGTTCCTGATTGCCCTACTTGGTCCATGGGACCCCACCCCTTATGGCAACAGCTCGCAGGATAGGGCTGGACCTCCTGATCCCACTGTGGCTCTTGGGCTCCTTCCTGGGGACTTTGTCATCGATGGGGGCATGTTCAGTCCTGCCGGGAACCCTCTCGACCTGGGGCTGGGCCTGTAACCTCTGGACTCTGACCCTGGAGGCAGTCCCATCCCGCCTGCAGCTGGGAACAGAAACAGCAGGGGCAGAGGGAGAGGGGAGAGTTCGGCAGACGCGGAGGAGGGAGGAGCCGCGTGAGGAGTTGCCTCCTTTCTGCAGTTTTGGCCTCCCCCCCACCCCCGTCCCTGGCTTCCAAGGCCACCGAGGCCCCCTCTCCTGCTCTCTTCAGTTCTCTGAGATGCCCCTGTATTTGTACAGTAATTCCTCTTTTTGGCTCAAGCCAGCTCGAGTTGGTCGCTTTCCTTGCAACCAAAGAGTATATGGAGTACTAGTAAAAGCTCCAAACCGGGGGGACCATATCGCTCTTCATCTTCAACTTTTGAGATGGGAATGGGGCACGGTTAATAGTTACACTGGGCCTACAGGCATAAACTGGGGTGCTCCAGGCAGACCAGGCCATACGGTCAACCCGTCTGTAAGTTAAAAGAAAAACACGCAGGCCACTTTCATCCCCTTTCACCCTCAGGCAATCCCGGGGAGCTGGTGAGGCAGGGCAGGCCGTTGTCTCCGAGATAAAGCAGGAAGCTCCTCCACCGTGGGGTGGCGGTGGGAGAGGGCTCAGGCCCCAGGGCGGCCGCGTTCTCCCGCCTGGCTGACATCAGGCCAGGAAACCGATCCCGGCTGTGGGAGAAAGGTCACGGCCGCATCCCCCTTCCTTTCTTCTTGATGGATGAAAGGCCGGTTCTCTGACATGTGGACTCCACAAGGCCAGGGGGGACTGGTGCCCTTCCAGGATACGTGGGCGGGGCAGTGGGCAGGGAGCCGAGAGAAGGAGTCAGAGCAGCAAGATGGGTGCAGGGGCCGCCGACACTATAAGTGGCCCAGCCAGGGCCTTGCCTGGGGCTCTGGCCATGCTCCTCCTCGGGCTGCTGCTGCTGACCGTGCTGGCTGGCGCCCGCCTGCTGTGGAACAAGTGGAAGCTCCGCAGCCTCCACCTCCCGCCTCTTGTGCCCGGCTTCCTGCACCTGCTGCGGCCCAACCTTCCCCTCTATCTGCTGGGTCTGACCCAGAAACTGGGGCCCGTCTACAGGCTCCGCCTGGGGCTGCGAGGTGTGTCTGCCCTGGCCCCCCCCCCCGCCGGCCCCGCCAAGGAGGGGAGGCCGGGTCCCCTCCCTGCTGACGCCCCACTTTGGCCCTCCCCCAGATGTGGTGGTGCTGAACTCCAAGAGGACCATCGAGGAAGCCATGATCAGGAAATGGGTGGACTTTGCCGGCAGACCCCAGACAGCGTCCTGTAAGGGTTCCGGGGCGGTTCTCGAGGGAAGAAATGGGCTGGCGGAGGCAGGGGAGGTCAGGCCCGTGGCTTCCTTGGTCAGCTCGACCCCTCTCCTACTCGCAGATAAGCTGGTGTCTCAGCACTACCAGGACCTCTCCCTCGGGGACTACTCCCTGCTCTGGAAGGCTCACAAGAAACTCACCCGCTCAGCTCTGCTGCTGGGCCTCCTTGACTCCACGGAGGGGCTGGTGGAGCAGCTGACCCAGGAGTTCTGTGAGGTGAGGGTGCACTCCCGCGGTCGCCCCCGCCCGCTTCCCCTGTCCTGGCAGCTCGCCGGCCCGGCCCGGCCCAGCCGTTTAGTCCCAGCCCCTTCTCTGCAGCGCATGAGAGTCCAGGCCGGCTCCCCTGTGGCCATCCAGAAGGAGTTCTCTCTCCTCACCTGCACCATCATCTGTCACCTCACCTTTGGAGACCAGGTCAAGGTTCCCTGCCCTCCATATGCTGGGACCCTTCCTTAGCCCCTCCCTGACTCTCTCTCTCTCTCTGGTCCTCAACTGAAACGATTCCCTCTTTTTTGGGGGGGGCAGGAGGACACCTTAGTACATGCCTTTCATGACTGTGTCCAGGACTTGATGAAAACCTGGGAGCATTGGTCCGTCCAAATTTTGGACATCGTTCCCTTTCTCAGGGTGAGGAGGTGGAGCCCAGACTCGCCGGGTCCTGGGAGAGAGACGGGCTGGGGGGACAGGCTTCCTTGCCGGTGGCTATACCGTCTTGCTCCCTGCCCCAGTTCTTCCCCAACCCAGGCCTCCGCAGGCTGAAGCAGGCCTTGGAGAACAGGGACCACATGGTAGAGAAGCAGCTGAGGCAGCACAAGGTGGGAAGGGTGTGTGTCCCCAGCGCCCCCGTAGCCCACAGCCTGGCATCCTACTGCCCCAGAGCTGGGCAGGTTCTTCAGCATCCGGGACCTGTGGCTCCCCTGAGAGCCTTCTCGCCAAGCCAGGCGCTGAGGCCGGCCCCTCCTCCCCTCCACAGGAGAGCATGGTGGCAGGCCAGTGGAGGGACATGACTGACTATATGCTCCAAAGAGTGGGGAAGCCAAGAGCAGGGGAGGGCCGTGGACAGCTCCTCGAAGGACACGTGCATATGTCTGTGGTGGACCTGTTCATTGGTGGCACTGAGACCACGGCGACCACCCTCTCCTGGGCCGTGGCCTTCTTGCTTCACCACCCTGAGGTGCACCCTGGGGGTGGCCTGGCTGGGGCCCCGGGACCCCAGCTCACTGCCCTCCCTCCCCCCACAGCGTGCGAGGGCTGTGTTCACCCCGGGGCTGGCTTCTCCTGATCGGCTCAGATGCTTGGGGGGGGGGGGGGAGGGGGTCTGCTCCAGGGGGCGGTTCAGGGTCCCGGCCCCAGACACCAGGTTTGCTCCCATTTCCCAGATTCAGCAGCGACTGCAGGAAGAGCTGGATCGTGAGCTGGGCCCTGGAGCATCAGGCTCCCGAGTCCCATACAGAGACCCCACACGGCTGCCCTTGCTCACGGCCACCATTGCCGAGGTGCTGCGCCTGCGGCCCGTAGTGCCCCTGGCCTTGCCGCACCGTGCCACGCGGCCTAGCAGGTGGCTCCCGAGGGCGGGGGATGAATGCGGCCAAACTGGAGGTGGGGGGGAGGGGAGGGGTCCTGGAGGCCTCTGACTCCACCCTCCCCTCAGCATCTTGGGCTACGACATCCCCGAGGGCACGGTTGTCATCCCCAACCTGCAAGGCGCCCACTTAGACGAGACGGTCTGGGAGCGGCCACACGAGTTCCGGCCGGGTGCGTGGCGGGGAGGGCGCCTGCGGCGTGGGGGCGCCAGAGGCCGGTCCCTGCGGCTACAGAACCCCGGGTTCTGTCCTTGTGCCCACAGATCGCTTCCTGGCCCCCGGCACCCGCCCCAGAGTGCTGGCCTTCGGCTGCGGGGCCCGCGTGTGCCTGGGGGAGCCACTGGCGCGCCTGGAGCTGCGCGTGGTGCTGGCGCAGCTGCTGCGGGCCTTCACGCTGCTGCCGCCTGCCGGCGCCCTGCCCTCCCTGCAGCCCCGGCCCCGCGGCGGCGTCAACCTCACCGTGCGGCCTTTCCAGGTGCGGCTGCAGCCCCGGGGCGCAGGGGCCCGGGCGCTGGGCCAGCACCCGTGACGGGGCGGGATGCACGCCGGCCGCACGCATGCCTCAGTTTCCCCTTTTATTACTCCCCGTACAAACCCCTGCCCTCCCCCCCTGTAAACATGGTGCTGTGAGATCGCAGATGGAGAAGGCTCCCTCCGGTGGCTGGACGGTGACGGTGGCCCCGGGCTCCTCTCTGAGCGCGACCCCTCAGTGCTCGGCAGTCATTCTGGGGCGCCCGAGAGGCGAGCGGCGGTCAGCCTCCCTGGGCCGCTGGGGGCCGGTAGCTTCTTGGCCTCAGCTTCATTTCCGTGAAGGGCACAGAGAACTCGAAGCCCTTCCAGTAGTACCAGCTCACCCCCTGGGAGGAGATGTCGAGACAGAGTCAAAGCCACACATCCCATCTGCTCCCACCCCTGCCCCTCTGGGGAGATGGTTCCCAGAAATCAACGCCTCTCCCACCCCCCACCGACTTCATGATCCTCAACTGCCAAGGCCTGAGGCTTCATCTGAGCTGGCCCTTTACGTCCAATAAATCGTGCTCATGTCTCCCTCAAGATAACTTGGCGAGATTGGCGTTATTGTCCCATTTCACAGATGAGGGTCCTGAGGCACCAAGCGGCTGGGGAGCTTGTCCTGTCACACCCCAGCAGGGTGAACCCCCTCCCCCTCCACCGCCCAGCTCGGTGCTGCCTCCCAGGCCCCTCACCTGGTGGTCCACTGTGCTCCCGTAGAGCCCATTGAGGTTGGCGTAGTGGCAGTTCTTGTACCACCAGGCCCCGTGGTACGACACAGCGCAGGAGATGAGCAGGTTGTTGGGGTCTCGATCCCGGGCAGAAAAGACACTGCCACTGTGGTAGGTCATGGAGTCGCCTGGACAGGTGTGAGAGGAGCAGTGAGGGCCTCCCCGCCCCCTGCCCCACCTCCCCAGCCGCCCCCAGGCGCACCCCTAACCTGCCGTGCCATGGTAGCCATCCAAATGAAGGCGGTAGTAGTCGGCCTCCGAGTCGACCCGGAAGGAGTCGTACTGCGCGAACACGGCCTCGTCCCCGGCCCGCAGGTCCACGCGCATGGAGTAGTCGCCGGTGTCTGTCAGGCTGTGCAGGGCCTCGTTCCCTGGGGGCAGGGGGAGTGCTCTCCTCAGGGTCCTGGTGTCCACAGGGTCTCCATCCCTTCCCTGGCCCCCGGCCCTGTGAGGCACTCACCCAGCCAGAACTCCCCGGAGATGTTGCCAAAGCCGTGGGCGTAGTCCTCCCAGTCCCTCCAGAAGTCCGTTTGTCCGTCCACGCGGCGCTGGAACACCTGGGAGGCGGGCGGAGGCACCGTCGGCCTATGGCTCCTGGCACAGCAGCCCCTGCCCCGGGCAGACCCCTGGGCTTCCGGGTGCCACCCACCAGCCAGCCGCCCCCATCGGTCTCCATGTCACAAAACACGTCCAGGGGACGCTCGCGGTTGCCATTGAGGAAGATGGTGGTGGCCCTTGAGGTGCGGGCTCCGTTCTGCACCTCCTCCCCACAGTCCCGAGGGAAGGGGATCGGAAGTCCACCTGGGGGAGAATGAGAACGAGGGGCCGGTCCTTTTCCCAAACCCTAGACCCCTGCTGCCCGCTCAGCCGCTGACCCAATTTGTCCCGGTGCCCAAATACCAGTGGTGAAGGAGGTGGACACAGGCGGCGTGAGGCTCTCGCCCCACATAGCTCGGAGCCACACGCCGTAGCGGGTGGAGGGGAAGAGGCCCAGGAGCTGGTGAGAGGTGATCCCTCCTGGGAGCAGGAGCTCCTGTGGACAGACGACGAGCAGGTCAGGGGACGGGGAGCCCCGCCGCGAGAGGCAGAGGAGGGGGCAGCACCTCCTGGAATGGAAGCTGGGAGGGGAGGTTGGCCAGTGAGGGAGGGATGGGGGCACCTGGGTCTGTTCACCAGGGGTGTTGAAACTGAGCAGGTAGCTGGTTGGAGGGACTTGGGGCTCAGTCCAAGTGAGTAGGGCCGTGCGGGGGGTCACTTCCTTGGCCTCCAGGTCCTGGGGGGCCTCCAACCCTGGGAGGGGAAGGTGGGAAGAGAAGATGGAGACAAGGCCCATCCTAGCTCCCTTGAGCCTCCCCCCCCCTGTCGTGCACACCTCCCAGGCTGCACCTGTGGTGAAGCTGATGCTGGCTGGGGACGTGAGGTTGGGGCCCCGAAGACCACGCACGGTCGCTGTGTAGTTGGTGTGGAGCTCCAGGCCACTCAGAGGGTACTCCACAGCACTGCCCGGGGCTGAGGCCTGTAGTGAGGGGGCTGGGAGCGGGGTGAGCATCAGCATCTGCCCCCCTTCACCTTGCCGGAGCCCCTGCCCCCACAAGTCCCCGCCAGAGGCCTCAGCCCCGCTCACCCCCTGAGGCTGTGACACGGACGTTATACTTGTCCACAGGGGCCTGGGGGGGCTTCCAGTGCAGCAGAGCCGATCCCTCCGTCAAGTTCAGCGCTCGAAGCTGGGTGGGGCCGTCAGGAACTGGGAGAAGGGGGCGGCTCAGAGCCGTCCCCTGCCCCCCTCTTCAGCCCTCACCTTCCCAGGCTCTGCTGGCCTCTGGTCCACAGTCCGAGAGCCTCTCACACCTTCCCCCTCCCCATTCATCCCCCCCCCCACCTCCCGCCTGGGGCCTAGTCCATCTCACCTGTGGTGAGGGAGCCGGTGAGAGGCTCACTCTCCTCAAAGCCGCGGACAGAGACCACGGTCACCTCATAGTGAGAGCCCGGGATCAGCCCTTTGAGTTTCTGGGTCTGCGCGCGGCCGTCCACCTGCACACTCTGCGGCTCGCCTGAAAACGCAGTGGGCTCGGCAGTTCGCCCCCGGAAGCAAGCAGGGTGAGCAGAGCGCAGGGGGCAGGAGAGGTGAGGGCGGACAAGGACATGGGCAAAAGGGTGAAAGAGTGTCACCTCCATCTGCCAGCTGGTAGGAAACTTTGAAACTGTCCACTCTGGATGCTGGAGGCATCCAGCTGACCTGGGCCGAGGTTTCCCCGATTTCGCTGAACTGAAGGTCACGGGGGCTTTCCAGAACTGCGGGGCGGGGTGTGCCGAGGAACGTGGGTGAGGGCACGGCGCAGGGAGGCTCCCACCCCAGGATCCCCACCCCTGCCTCCTCCTGGGCCCCAGTGACTCTAGCCCTGCTCACCACCCCTTTCCTCTAGACCCAGGAGAGGAAGTCTCTGTAGATGCCTCCCAGCCCTCCACCACTCACCAAGCTTCCCTCTGGCTGAGGCACTAGGTCCTGCCCTACAAAGTACAGAGACCCCTCACTTTGGGGCAGCACACGAAGGTGCCCACTGTGCGGTCTTACCTGGGCTGAGGGTGCGGGCCGTGCCCTGGATGCTGTCGGCCTTATGGGGCCCACGCAGCCCATACAACGTCAGGCTGTACAGGGTCCCCGGGTGCAGGTCCCGGAGCACGGCGGAGCGCCGCGACCCCGGCACCGTCAGCTCCCGCTGCTGCAGGGGACGCGGGTGCGGCTCCAGGGTGCTTGGGGATGGGACCCCGAAGCGGAGCAGGAAGGAGTCAAAGGCCTCCGAGGGGGCCTCCCAGTTGAGCCGCAGGGAACTGGTGGTCACATCGGTCACTGACAGCTGGGACAGGCGGGGTCCTGGCTCCCCTGGGGTCAGGCCGGCAGGAGCAGGCCCTGCACAGAGCGGGTGGGAGACAGAAGCACACCACTTCCGTGGCCTGGGGCAGGGCTCTGGCACCGCCCCACCCCGGCCCTGAGTTTCTCATCCGTGAAATGGAGGTAGGACTCAAAGTGAGCAGGTGTGCGTAGAGCCGAAGGCTGAGGGGCACCCTTCCTCCTTCTGGGGCCCTCCTCATGTTCTTTCTCTACAGTCACCACGTCCGGTCACCCCCGTTAGCCCTGTCGGTCCCAGTCCAGAGGGGGGTGAGGCCTAGATAGAGGGCCCTGGCCTGCCGGTACCTGTGGTGCCCTTGGCTGAGACAGGCCCCAGGCGCTTCCCTTTGTGGAGGCCGTAGAGGAAGAACTTGTAGGCGGTGCTGGGCTCCAGGCCTGACACTTGCACCTTGTTCTGGTTGCCGCCCACGAGCAAGGCCTGGGGCTGCCCATCTGTGTCCTGATACTGGACCAGGAAGGACTCAAAGGGGCCCTGGGCCACACTCCATGAGAAGCGCAGGGAGTCTGGGGTTGTGTCGCTCACTGCCAGTGTCCTTAACTGGGGCCCTGAGCGGGGCTCGGGGGCCTCTGTGGCTGGGCGCCAGGGGGCTGCGTGGGAGAAGCCTGGGGGAGAAGCTGAGCAGCGGGGGACTGAGGCTCTCCTGGCACCTTCCTTCCTGTGAGTCTGCCATTTTCCTGCCCTGGCACTGAGTCCTGCCACCTCTGGGCCCCTCGGAGCGCCAGCACTGTGGCCCCATCACCCCTCTGTGGGATGGCTTGCTGGATCCGTCCCACACTCGCTTCCCTTTCTCCACCTCCACAGCCTCTCGTGCCTCACCTCGCGGTGCTGGTCACTCCCTGGGGGGGGTGTCAACACCTCCCGGGGAGGAGGCCCCTCCTTCAGCGTCCCTTGCCTATGTCCTTCTCCAGTTATTTTCCACTTGCGAGAAAAGGCTCCTGACTCATCCACAGGCAGGGGTTTGCCCCCATCTGGTAAGAGCCGCCTCAGGAGAGGGACGGGGTGGAGGTTGGGAGGCCGGGGCCGCTGTCAGGGCCTTGCCCTGCGCCTGCCTCCACGGATTCCTTGGTCACCCCAAAGCCGGCCGCTCCGCACTTTCCTTCCTTTCCGAGCCCTGGGCGGGCCTCCTTATGCCCCAGGCCCACTCCTGTTGGTCTCTTCAGGCTCCTGCTCACCTGTCACTCCCAGGACGGAGATGGGGCCCAGGCGCTGTCCTCCGTGGATCCCATATAGCAGAAACTTGTGTTTCCTACCAGGCTCCAGGCCCTCTATGGTGACTGCCCGCTGGTCTTTGGCCACAGGCACTGCCCGGGGCTGCCCAGCTGGGTCCCTGTACTGGACCACAAAGGAATCAAAGAGGCCCTGGGCCACCGTCCATGAGAGGCGCAGGGAGTCTGGGGTCTCATCTGTCACTGTCAGCTCCCCAAGGCGGGGTGGGTGCTCCAGGGGAGCTGTGGAGAGAGCAGGAGGAGAAACTTAGTCAAGAGCTACCTCTACCACAGCCCTGGCGACTTCTGGGAGGCATGAGGGTCTAGGAAAGGGTCCCTGCAGTGTGGCTTCAATCTGCCCAAAGGAAGGACAGCGAGCAGCTCGATCTCTCCTCTGGAGGCCACTGCCCTAAATCCTTCCTGCCCCCACTCCCTCCCTGCTGTGATCAGGGTGCAGTAAATGCATAAAAGATCACCTTGTAAGATAGGGCCCCTGGGGGTGTAAGAAGGGCCTCAGTTTCTCCCTGGCCCCTGACCCCCGGAGCAGGAATGTGGCTGGAGCCCAGAAAGTCTCCCGGAGTGTATCTGGGTTGTCAGGGAGACACCCCCAAACACTAAGAGCTGGGCTGGGCAGCCAGCCAAGCTGATGGGCTCCCAGAGCTTGGCCATGACCTCCCCCTTCCTTGCTATCAGCCC